ATCTAAAACTAATGATGTAATGTATGGTGATTAACATAACATAATAAATAAATAAATAAATAAATAAATAAATAAATAAATAAACTTTTTCTCATTTTTCAAGAAATTCTATTTAAAGGCACAATCTAAATCCTATCTCTCAGTCTACAGTTCACTAAGCAGAGAGGAACCAGGAAGATTGCGCCAACACCTCCGTGTAGGTGCACAAATCAGTTTGGCCATGGCAGACAGGACAGATGAGGACTATGGGGCATGATTCTTTTCTAGTTCAGTGGACAAAGCCACATAGTGGTTGAATGGTTTGGCCAAACATCCTGAGGAAGTTGGTGCAAATGCAAAAGATATATATATAAGTATGTGTGTGTAATGGTTTCCTGTCCCCATAGCATAGACTCATGGCTTTGTCTTGAAGCAATAGTCACTGAAAGTTTGAAATGTCCGTTTGCTTACTTTAGTTATACCCTACCAAAGAACAGGCAAAAGTGCGGTAGTCAAAGAAAGACCTACAAACGAACAGAATGACATTACTTGCTAGAATGACATTATTTGCTAGACACAGAGCGATAACTGTCATTTCTGAGCAAAAATTACTTTTTAATTGTATAAATAATACAGTGACCAAAAAAGTCTTTTTGGAAAATAAAAGCCTAATGTTAGCACCCTCATAGGACTATGTTCGTTCTGTGTGTTCTTTTGCTATTGGTCCATAAGAATAAAAATGTACTTTATCGAAGTCCGAGCTTGCTTATAATTTTGTTTTAGGATTTTGTCACTCGTCAGTAATTTTTCATAAGGCTTAAAGCTATTAGTCTTGAAGAATTTTCTTAGTTGGAAACAGACATATGGATCATTTAATCCAGCTTTGTTGAACTGTCTTATCTGGGTTTTAATAGGTATTAACCTGGAAAAAGGATTCCATGATTAAATAAGTGGGTTGATTTGTGATAATGCTCCATAGACTTGAGGAATGGGCATTGATATGGCGTACTTGATTGCAGGCCCCTTTTGAAAAGGAGCATCTCATAGGATTTGTGCTTCGCATAATTTGTTCTTTACAAAGTGTTATTTAGATCAATTTCTCTATCGGGAAACTGAGGCCCAGAGACATTAAGACTCAACCTTACACAGTTAATTTGTGACAGAATCTAGATCAGAATTTATAAATATGTTTCCAGAAAGAAAACATCTACCAAAATCTCCTTAATTCTTTCGACTGTCATCAAGTGACAAAACTTGGAATATGTATTACAGGGGTGACGCCAGAAGACCTGGAGCCCTGGTGAGGATATTAGCAAAATCAATGCCTAAATAAACATACATGTGTGCAAATTGTTAAAAAGTTCTGTACCCTGGGAAAACAAGAGAACATTATTGAGAAAGTACAGTAGGAAAATTTTGAGGAAAAAATTCCATTTTGGGCTGTTACTTCTAAATGCCCTAAAATGAAACTATTAAAAATTTCTGCAATAAACCATAACTCTCCATGAAAAGAACTGTCTAGTGAAAGGATGGGCTTTTCTCAGTCCCAGAGTGCTTTCTTTTTTTTTTTTTTAATTTTTTTTTTTTTTTTATTCATGAGAGACAGAGCGAGAGAGAAAGGCAGAGGGAGAAGCAGGCTCCCAAGGAGCAGGGAGCCCGATGCGGGACTCGATCCCAGGACCCTGAGATCATGACCTGAGCCGAAGGCAGACGCTCAACCATCTGAGCCACCTAGGCGCCCTCAGTCCCAGAGTGCTTTAAAATTTTGATTTTGAAACTACAAAATACCTGGTCTGGTTGCCAGAATTGGCTGATAAAATCCCACTGTATTATAAAGGAATGTAATCTTGGCATTGTATATAATTCTTTGTTAAACGTTCTACTAGCTCACATACTAAAGTGATCTAAGAGCTATACCATTAGTAATGTCTTAGTTCAAAACACTGTTCCCTAACTGATATTGGTTGGGGTATTTCTGCTTGTTAACAAACAAACAAAACAAAAACCCCCTTTCCCTCATCCTCCAGATGGCAATCGATACTCCCAAGGTAAATTCGTCTTTCTTTGCACTTAAAACTTGATCCCTATGTGATGCCAATACAATGAAGACCTCATCAGTTTTATAGGCAAATGAATTTTCAAGGACCCAAAGTTTTTGTTCTTGCACTGTCTACCCAGACTGGAACCCTCTTCCACTTTCAAAATCTCTGCTGAGCATTTCTGGGAGCCCCCCAAAGGGCTGATCTGTAGCTGGTGTATTCTGGTGCATCAGTGATTTACGGCCGGCTTCTGGTGCAATCAGCTGCTGTCAAGTCCTTAAATTTGACACCCACGTATGTGCTGACAAATTAGGCTACGTGCTACAGACTCCTACTACCCCCATTCCTCCTACCTGCTTCGTACGGGGAGCTGCGTGTCTCAGAAATTCACTCTCAGATTTCACGCCTGCCACGGTCGGTGGAATTCACTGTGAAAGCCTTTGATGTGTCATGGCCGGCTGTGTAAAGGAAGAGAGAATGACTCTTGCCCTCCCTCCCTGCCATCCTTTGCCACCGAGAACCTGAAGCCGACTTTCTTCTGCCCAGAGTTTCACAGAGTCCCTCATGAAAGCAGTTCTGTCTGACTGCAGCCTGCAGACAGTTCACCAGACACCCAATCCTCGCCCCAAGAACTGGATAAGTCAGAGCTGCTACATTACCTCTTCCAGAGTGCCCATCTCCCTTCTGCATTTTCTGGACTCTGACCTCAACCGAATTCTTCCCCTCCCAACCAGTGGCAAGATGCAAGTCCCCATGAGTATCAGTGAATGCCACCTGATACTGGTGGTGGCCTGGGAGTGGGTGCTGTTCTCACCAGTTGCTATCCAGATCCCAAATCAAGTTAGAAAAATACCCCTTTACACTTATTAAAAAGCATCAGCCCTAGGAGGAAGAAAAGTGCACGTTAGTATATATAAAAAGACTTGCCTAAGTAACAAGGGAGAGTGTGGAGGAGTGGCGAAGCTGGGATGAAGCCATCTGGAACATTTATATCGAAATAGCTGTTTCTTGGATATTTATTGAAAGCTTCGCCTGTTGACAGCGTTGACTCCTCTATCTCTATTGAGAAACGACTTCCTTTGTAATTCCATGTAGAAAAAAAATGCATCAGTATCTTTTAATTTTGCCTTATGTGACAGGAATTCAAGTCATAGACCTATGCCTTCAGATTTAGGGCTGCAATACAAATCTGACCTTTGATGTTTTCACTTTGAAAACATGGATTTGGTAAATGGTTGGAAACACTGATGGGTGAGCAGCCATGGTCAGTTGAAAACTTTCATGATGGTGGTCAAATTCTGTTTCAAAAAGTTCCTTTAAACAATCACATATGATGCAGTCCTTCAAATAAGTTATGAAGTCCACATTAGTCGGTTTGGAGTATTTCCAAGATTAAAAAATGGTAATACTCCAAAACTGATTTCACAAATTAAATCAATGTATCAACATAACAGTGACATCTAATATGACTTTCCCTCTGTGTTTTTGAAGTTACCATGCTAAAAGAAATACACAAAAAGTTAAAACATGGCCCATGTGTTATAGTTAATAATTTCACTTTTTCTTGGTAATTTTCTTCAATATAAACTTATATTGTGATTGCAACTCTAAAACATAATTGTTTTATAAACAGCGATGGTGGTCAATTTCTTGGGTTTGGTTTGGATTCCAATTCCGGAAGCCTTTATAAAAAAACAAGGGCTTTGTCAGTGTGGGTGAAGAGCAAGTGAGGGTTCAGGAAGTATCTCAGAGGCACAGTCCAGAGGTACAAAGTCTTAGAGACATGGCGATTGGATGGATGTGGACAATGATGAAGAGAGGTAAGTTTAAGACCATTCCTGTTTGGTGTGTTTGTTTGGTTTGTTTTAGCCTTGCAGGCAAGGGGTATTGTAATGCCCTTCACCAAGGTAGGCAAGCAAAACAAGTATAATGTCAGGAAATCTGAGGAATGTGGTTCTGGACATCATAAGTTTGAGAGGTCATTAGATCCAGTAGGCAATTATATACATGCATATGGACTACAGCAGAAGTCAGACAGGTGATAGCCATTTGGGGACCATCAGTAGAATGAAGAGCTGAAATGATGAGTAAGGGTGTGGGAATGTACTGATGATGAAAAGATGAGGCCTAGTAGAAGATCCTTGGAGAACTGTGAGATTTCAGAATCAGGGGGGAAAAGCAAAGCCTGAGAGAATGAAGAATGTTCTAGAAATAGGAGGAAAACTAGGAGAAAGTGTCATGATGGAAGCTGGCCTGGAAGAGAATTTTGAGGAAAAGAGGAAAAGTGGATATTGTTGTTTTGACTTTCAGACGTCCAATTCTCTTTGTGCCTTTCCTTCGTTGTGGGTACTGTTAGTATGATATAGCACCTATTTTCTATGATGAAACTAAAGGAACCAGGTCCATCCTCTTCTTGCCCAGGGCAGACACAGATCTAGCCTGGGCCTGTGGGGACATCCTCTTCAATGACTTAACAACTTTTAATGTAAACAGCCAGAAGACAGGAAGCAGTCAGGGTTAACTCAGCGCAAGGGCAGTGTGGATAAGCCTGGGTCTGGTGTGTGTACATAGTGGTAGTCCTTTTACTCAATTTACTTGTCCCTCTGATCTTCTAGTTTCCTATTTATCTGTCCAATAACCCTATATTTTACTTAATATAAAAAGCTAAATGTAGAGTCAAATGAATTATACCTAAAAAGGGTGGTGAAATAATGATTTCACTGAATAGATAGATGAGTAAACTCATGTTCAGTAAAACTAAAATCACCCAAGATTAGATTTAATTATGGCGTAGATGGGACTAGAACTCATTTCTCTTAACTTCTAGGCTAAGGTATTTCTACCTTTTTAAAAAAAATTTTGTACTGAGGCAAAATATATGTAACATAAAATTTACCATCTCAGCATTAAATGTATAGTTCAGTAGTCTTAAGTACACTCACATTGCTGTGCAACTAATCTCCAGAACTCATTTCACCTTAGGCTGAGGCACTTTTCATTGTACCATTGGTGGTACACGGCCACTCATAATAAATCTACCTTCTCAGCCTTCCTTACAGCTAAGTCTGGCCAACAAGATGTGAGCTGGTCGGACTTGTGCAGCCCTCCAGGTTGTAGCCTTGAGAAGAAAGAATGTGTCCTTTTTCCGCTTTCCCGTGTGAAATAAATGTGGATCATGGGCCATGATGATGAAGGCTATACCTAGGGATGAAGGCACAACAAGTTGAAAGACAACTGTAACAACCTTATGAAGCAGAGCTGCTATGATACGTTGCAAAAGTAAATTTTGATACCATTGAAGCCACTGTTATTTGGGGTGTTTCTGTTATAAAAGTTGAACTAATTGCACCTGACATAACCACCCTGAAACTTATTTCCCTTCCCCTTCTCAAGCATTACAAGAAAAACATAAAAGACTTATGTTCCTTCCTTCTGAAATGTTGGCTAGGCCGAGACTCACATTTATTATCCTTAGACCCCAGATCCAAGAATGACATTCAGTTTATCCTGCTAGCAAGGCCAAGTTGACAGAGACACACATGGCATATAATGCTACAGGGTAGTGGATAGGGAAGCTGGGAGGAACTCTATTTTGGGCAACGTGTTTAAAATGAGACCTTTGTGCTAAAACAACTTACCAGATAAATAAAGGGAAAAAATAACCATCTTTTTTATTCAGACTTATTTCTGGAAAATAAGTGTGTGCAAGTGGGACAGGGGATGAACAACAAGAATACCTCACAACCATTTTAACGTATTCTTACAAGTGTGAAAACTAGGAATATGCACTCAGGAGCTGGTGGTTCCACCAGGTGGTAAAATACTGGATAAAGAATTCAGGATAGAATGTTTAAGGTTTGTATTTAGCAAACGATGGCGAGCACTATAAACGTTATTCATTCTAATTCACAAAAGTCTGTAATTCTTATGAAACACTCAGTTTATGCAAAGATGAATTATAATGCTGTACACTTTCTTCCAAAGGCTTCTTAGATAGAGAAGCCAATCACGTACTACTTCAAATAATGACAAGAGAGCTACTTAATTTTTTCCCCAATAAGGTGATTCAGTGTGTTCTACATAGATGCTCAGTGTCTTCAAATCACTTGTCTAAGAATCAGAGAGACATGGGTACAATCCTGACTCAACCACTTGAGAGTGTAAGATTTGGAGAAAGTTACTTTAACTTTTCTGAAACTGGAGATAATGGTATTTGCACTATAGGGTTGATATGATAATTAGAGTATATAATTATGTAAAGTGCTTAGCATATTAACAAGTGCTCAGTCAACTGTGCATGCTGCTATTGGTTATTGTTAATATTATTACTGTTTCTAAATGATAATTTCAATAGACTAAAGTTTAATAGCTATGAATTTCCTCTCTTGTGTTTCTTCTTGAATTTTCTTGACCCTGGTTTTTGGATATGCATATTAAATTTTTGATTAAGAAGCTTAAAGAAAAATTTTACATGAATTAGAATTGGGATGACTATTTCCTTAAAAGAGTGGAAAGAGAGAGAGAAAAGAAAATCTATCTCATATAGAAAAATACAGAAAACAAAGGAATCAAAAAGAGATCAAATAACAGAAAGTGAAAAACCAAGATGCCTAGTATTTTGTCAGCGCTCCGTAAGTATTAGGTATCACTACCTTGAAGTGTTATTATTGAAGAACATTGCATCAACGTACATAGAGTAAACTTTTGGAAATACAAGGAATAATATACAAAACATTATTTTACCAAATTACTTAACCCACTCCGTCTTAAATAATGCAGGTAAAAAGTAAATAGATACATGGGATCTAAGTAATATAGTTTCTATGATTGAATAAAGTTAATGTTATGTATGCATTAATCCTTAGATCTTTCAGAAAATGCATCTGTTTTAGGCAACTACGGAACATGTAGAAAATTTATGTGTCAAATGGATCTTTACTATTTCAAAACCCTAAATTTATATGGGCTCTGAATTTCAATACAGAGAAAATAGAAATCAGCACTTCAAGTTAAAATGTAAAGGCCCAACTACTCAAAAAACGTAAAACCTCAACTTTTGTGTCAAAGGGGATATAAAAAGTATAATCATGGGACACCTGGGTGGCTCAGTCGGTTAAGCGTCTGCCTTCGGCTCAGGTCATGATCCCCGGGTCCTGGGATCGAGCCCCGCATCGGGCTCCCTGCTCAGCGGAGAACCTGCTTCTCCCTCTGCCTGCCGCTCCCCCTGCTTGTGCTCTCTCTCTCTCTCTCTGACAAAGAAGTAAAAATAAAATCTTTTAAAAGGAGGAAAGAGAAAAAAAATAAAATCACAAAAAAATTTAGGAAATAGTGATGACAGCAGTACATATTTATAATTGTAATTGTAATCAAAGGTATACTCTGAGGAAAATTCATATACTTTCATTTTTAAATAAGAAAGAATTTAAATGGACAAAACACATGTTTAACCTAGGGAAGAGGGGAATTTGCTGAGATCTTAAATAGTCTTCATTAAATAATATTCACTTTAATCACATAATGTGTATCCTGTATCAGTCATCTTAAATTAAGCTAGGTTGAGGTAAAAAGTGACTCAAAAATCATATTGGTTTACAATGATATAAAGACTTATTTTGAAATTATTTTATTGCTCATCATGAATTGTCTGCACATATGTTTCTTCATCTCTTCATCTCTCATCTCTGGGATGATGGAATAGACCTTAGGGCAATGGCTCATGGTATGGGGAAACAAGAGCATGGTAGAACCATACAACACTTCTTAAAAGTTCCGCCCAGGAGTGACACATGTGTCTTCTGCTCACATATCATGACAAAAACTGACTTCCATGGAGTGTGAATGTGTAATTCAACCACAGGGAAGACAGCAAATATTTTGTACACTAATATGATCTTACCATGGTCCTGAATCTCTGTCACAGGTATTTTCTCCTTCCCTTTTACATTGAAAATACACTCAGTCCCTCCCTACTGGAGACAACACAAAAGTGTCCTCCAATCATAGTATTAGGCTCAAAGAACCAGAATTCTTGTGATAATCTCTATATCAGGTCTACATGTGACTCCTTTTGATCTGGAGATGTATGAACTATAACGGAATCAGTGACAGAATAACTACAATACGCACTGCACTCCCTTTGGAAAGGGAATGAGTTGGAGGTCCATCAAAGCCACCAACCCATAACAATGCTGAAAGCCCCTGGTATTCATGGCCAGGACCCTGACCATGGCACTGGAAAATATTCCTTGAATAGGTCCTGGTTCTGCCTTTACAGTAGTTGTCCAGGCTATTATTCTCCATGGCTCTTGGTTTGGCCTCTAAGAGATCCTTTCTTCACATCTTCCCTCTTGGCCAAATATAAATACTTTGGGGAACAAGTCCTCCTTGGGTGCTGAACTGCTCTCTTGATCTGCTTTTTGGCCCCAGAAACATGAGGGTCTGAGCATAATCTTCCTGAAGTTGGGGTGAAGGGGGCAGAACATACTTCGTACAATAATACAATGTACCACACATACGTTTATCTTTGTTGAAACCTTCCATGGAAAACCAGTTCCACTGGCTTGGGGCCATACTGGATTCGCTTTAGAACATACGTTTCAAGGTTTATGTTTTTGGCTTTTTAATGAGTTCACAATTTGTCTTAGAAAAAAGCTCTTTAGATAAGCAGCTTATTTTTTCTGTATGTCCATACAGTTATGTTGACTTGGGCCTATTAGATCTCAACTGGGTCAGGAGCTCCCAGGAATTTATTCCTCATCAATGCACCTGTCCATCAGGTCAGAGGAAAATGAAATTTATCAAAATATGATGGCTCTTCTTGCCTTTTTGTTGTAGCTTTGGAATATTCTACCTGCAATGAAAAAGGGGCTCCCATTGAGGCACTGCAGTTTTTTTTCTTCAATTACTCTCAGTCCTAAATCCTGTCCATCAATATTAGAATTTTAAAAAAGTATTCCCTTCACATTATGGTGCTTTCCTGAAGGTCAATGTGAGTTGCTTCATGGTTTCATGTTTCAATTTGATTCAAAATTTCCATTTTGTT